AAGAGATAGAGAGACTTATGATTAAATTAGAAAATTTTTTCACAAATTAGAAAATTTTAAGAGATTCAAGTTATCAAAATTTTAATGTCATTTGCTTGACGTTTAAAGCATAGGATTCTTCAAAAAATGATAACAGCTTAACTTTGAATAAATAGTAAAAAATGTTACGAAAATTTGCGAGAATTTTTAAATGATGATTTTTAGAGGCGCATGAAAATCGAACTCGGGAGATCGATAGTCGCGACGAGGGAACATCGTGCTTCTATCCGGTAGCCACGCTCGTCGTCTTAATGGAGTTCATAAAGATTAGAGCGAAGTCCGCTGCAGGGCTGGTGAAACCGCTCTCCCGAGAACGAGTTTTCGCCGCTTTAGATACATCCCGAGAGCCGTCCTACGGTCGCGAATATTACGCATCGATAACGCAAATCTCGAAATATCATTACCGACAATCTCTCGCAGCGAGGCTGATAGACTGATTCGGGAAGAGATACTTCCGTTTTAAAATGTTTATTTTTTTTTTAATTTCTCAGAGCTTTTAATCCTTATGATTTTGAAATTTTAATATTAAAAATTTTTTTTCTTAAAGCTTTGATCACAAAATTAAAATCTTGCATTTCAAAAAATTTATATTACTAAAATCTTGAATTTTAAAATTTCTTTTTTTATTTATATAATTTATATTTGGATCTTGATTACATAACTTCCTTCTTTCTATAAATTTTTATCGTTCTTTAGTACATATCTGTGTTATTCTTACGACCTATAATTCACAGTTGAGCACATATTGACGCGGGGCACGTCGTAAATATCTCGCTTGTCTTTCTCGAATTAAGGAAGAACGCGAGAACGAACGGAAACTAACGCCAACCACTCGTAAAGTAACGCCGGATCGTTACTTGTATAAAATAAAAGGGAACAGATTAACGGCCGTGATTATGGCACATCGGGCTTATGCACGATCGCGTCTAATCGGGCGCCCTCCCACGTGCCTTTTATGCCTCCCCGCGACGCCCTTCTCGTGAGGATCATGTGTTCCTGCGAATTTAATTGTCCCTATAAATATCAAAGTTCCTCTCCCTCACGCAGAAGCGCGTTATTCACTCTGGAAACGCACAGGAGAATCCCTTCCTTTCTTCCCTTTTTTCCTTCCCTCGCATTTAGAGATTCACGAATTTTTCGTCCGCGCCTTTTGGTCGATTAAAATGCACCCTGCGGTCGGCATATTAATTCTTAAATATTCGAAGATAAATTTTAAAAGTTTTTAAAATATGTTCAAAAAGTTTATAACGAGTACAATTTTTAAACTATTCAATAATTTTATTCACAGAATAAAATTTAATTAATTTTTTTCACAGAATAAAATTTAATTAATTTTATTCACAGAATAAAATTATTGAATAGTTTAAAAATTGTACTCGTTATAAACTTTTAGAACATATTTTAAAAACTTTTATTCAATAATTTTATTCTGTGAATGAAATATTATTGGATAGTTTAAACATTATACTTGTTATAAACTTTTAGAACATATTTTAAAAACTTTTAAAATTTCTTTTCTGTGAATAAAATTATTTTAACTATTTAAACTATTTAAACTATTCTGTGAATAAAATTATTGAATATTTAGTACTTTTGTAGATTATGTAAATATGATCGATCTCAATTTTGGGCAACGAAAAAATATCGTGTATATTATAATAAACATGATTTAGCGCGCAATTATAAATGTACAGAAATATATACCCGAGTTTTAACAAGGCACTTATCAACCTTAACATCATAAATATCCTGCGGCGTGAGGCGATCTCATCCTGGCGAAATTCCAATGACTCCGCTTCCTCTCGTAAACGTTCGGTCTTTATGTCGCCGTTCAATCACCTCTCTCCAAGCAGTGTCTGGTGTTTGCCAAACTCGTAGCATCCGTCGTCGATCCAGTACGTTTCTGTCTGCTTTGCGAGGATTTAATTCGAGCCTTGGACGATTCCATTGACTTGCAGAAGCGCAATGTCCGCCGCGATATAAATCTGCGAACGCCCGCGGCATCCGGTCCGCGTTTCCGCCGCTTCCGATCGATGTTTCAACACATGATTCGAGTGTTTCGCAACATAAACCACTCCCGTGAATCACGCGAAATGGCTATCCTCACACAACTGACAAGTGTGTTGCGAATATCCAGTCTCTGTTACAAAGGAGAGACTATATACGATATGTCACAAATGTCAAAACTTTACTATTTCGAAGTTACAAGATTATAAAATATTGAAATTTTTTTAAATTTCACATAGTGTACATGATTTTAAATATATAGAGTTTTAAATCTGCGAAATATATTTTAAAATTGAATTTTGCACATCGAAATATTTATATCCTAAAGTTTTAAATTTATATTTTTGACATTTCGGCTTCCTTTTAAATATTGTAAATATAACGTCATTTATTTATCGTAGAAAATGTTAAAGGGGGATCGATGAACATTTCTGTTGCAGAGAAGTATGCGTGGACGAAGGCCAACAGTTGTCCTTGGCTCATGGATGTCAGTTTTACGAAGTAAGCGCCGCTGAGAGTCCCGCGGGGGCGGCATTGGCCTTTCAAGCGCTCCTGCGGGAAGCGAGATCGGTCCAGCTCCTGCGAGCGTTGCCGATTCGCCGGAAACTGGGAGTACACTCGGTCTCGAGGGTCCTCGGGACGATCTTTGGCAAGAACACCACCAAGGACCGTAAGAAGAGGCCATCGTTGAGCATATGACGCCTTCTATGCGCCCTCCTCCTCGGAGGACGAGACGAGCCGGGCAGAAGGACCGACATCGTCGTCCTCAGCAGCAACGTCTACTCCAATCGCTGACGAGGTCCTCGGTAACAACGAAGAATCTCCCTTCGTGCTTTTCTGAATTCTGAAGGAAAGCCACCGAGATCAGAAAATCAATTTTAAAAGCTTTTTTTGACAAGAGAGTGATTTTTTACGAAGCGTTTTGATGAAAAAATGCATTCACTAGTGCAATCAAAGTCCCGAGGTCCTCAAGCATTCGGGGTTTAAAGCTCCGAGGATGTAAGACTGATTTTCTGGCGCGGGATCGACGCGTAGGATCCAATATACGAGATGCCTTGGAAGTCTGAAGCGTGTGAATTTAATAGAAATATCTAAGGCTCTTCGACATATGACAGCCGGAAGATCTAGGCTCCGAGAAGATTCTATTTACTGGAGGGCGACATCATTCTTTAGAATGAAGAGGACGTTCGCGTGATGCTCACGAGTGTGATTCTGCTTTTCGTGGTGTTTACGGATTCTCGCGAGAGAGAAGCGAATCAACGCGGGACTGAGAAATTGTTCGTGCTTGATATGTGCATAAAGGTACTTTTTTTTTTTTTAAATAATGCTATAGCGTTTTGCAGTGATTACAAGTGACTGGCAAGTTGTTCCTGAACGGCGTAATTCTTAAGATGATTTACTGAAGATGATTTTTCGGTTACAAATTGTCTCCAAAATCTTTGCCGGGAGTGCAAATTTTATAATTGGGGATAATACTTGCACATCACTCGGTATCTAAGTTATTACGTTATTGACTCTAAACAGTATAAAACAGAACTTTCGTGCATTTATTTCTTTTTGTTATAAATATTTATAAGTCTTCTAAACTTTTTAAAAAATGTCTGAGAATTGTTTTGATTGGCAATTTTTGCAATTGATTATTTTGCCATTAATCACAATTTTAAAATTAATTTGTTGTTTCTTTCTTTCTCTCATTCGTTTGCACGAGAATAAAATATTTTATACTGTGGAGTTTTTTGGTATTTGCAGAATTGAGTTTGTTTTTTTTTTTTTTTTTTTTTTTTTTGATGCCCCCGAAAAGAAACCCATGAGTCTTTCAAATTTCGATATTTCCACTAAGTGGAAGAGATCACGATTCGATTCGATTATCTGCCTATCGCCTTAATTATTTCTCAATGTTCGCAAGCGGCTCGTTGAGAGCGACTTTAATATCTTTATCGCCAGGCGTGATTGATTCGATGACTTTTAATGTTCCTAAAGAAAGTAGCCTAAGTGTAAATAGCGCGCATGTTTGCTTATCATACTCTGCGAAAAGTCTCGCAGACTTGAGTAATTGTTAAGATTTACATATGAGAAGAGAAATAATGAGTACGGATGCTAGAATGTTGAATGCCCATTAAAGTCATTTGTCATTGGATTTATTAGCAATCAAGGATACAAAAAAAATTCGATGAAAAAATAAAATATATAAATTATATATATGTCATAATACAATATATAAAATTGAAACATTATAAATGTAAATGTATATATATATATATATAGTGTTGCAATTTTAACAGCATATTTAATTGAATCACGCAGAATTAAAAGTTTTTTCGCAATCTATATCTTGTTTTTTAGTATAAAAAAAGAAAAAATAATGACTTTTAATGGATTAAAAAAATATTGACGATCGTTTGAATGACTGCCATGTTTGCCACTGACAGATCGATCATCGCGGATCTCGTCAACTCTATATCGTAGAAAATGTTGGTCGTTCGCCTTTTTGCTAAGCTCTACTAGTCGCGCGTGCGCGATGTTTTATAAATTTCCTTTTTTTTTTCTACGACAAGCATAGAGACTTACGATCGACTTTTGAGATTCACGTAATTCATAAATACTTTCAGTGCCTTTCAACCCATTACACGATATTTTTTGCCAACAGCTGACACGCTTAACGACGTGAGAGTTTCAACGAAGAGAAAATTCCATTTTACACTTAAAAAACGGATAGTTAATGAGCAGTAAACCGTGCTATCCCTTTTCAGCGCGTCAGCTTTCAGTGCAAAAAAAAATCGTAAAATGGGTTTTCAAAGTTGGCTTCCCCGAAAGAGGAAAGACTCAACGGAGTGCGTATCTACCTTTTTCACGATACATTCCACTTGAAATTAGCATCTAATGTGTGAGTGCGTAATTCGATTCCAGGCAGATGTCGATCGCTGTATTCGAAGTGCTAGTCACTTGTTATCGAGAGAAGATAATAATAAAGGAGCGTCTTTTGTTAAACCTCGTCGTAAGTCACCTCGTCACAAATCACCTCGTCACAAGTCTCCTCATCACACAAGTTTCCTCGTCGAATCCCACTGTTCCACCGTCTCTTTCCTGTCTTCGTGAATCATCGATGGTCATCGAGGGTAAGTCATTTCATCATTTTCGAGAAATAGAATTATTTTAATAAATAATTATATATTTATTGTCTATATGTATTTATAAATCAAAACAATTCTACGATTTTCACATTTAAAAAAAATTTTTATATATAGTTTTATATATAGTATTTGCAATTTGAATGTTGACTAGATTTGAAAATAGCTCGTTACTATTGTTTTACACGCGCCAAACGCGAGTCTCCGGGGACGTCTCAGGAGACGTCACGGTCGTTGATTTGACGAAAAATCGGCCGGGTAATCTCGCGAATCGCGAGAACGAATTTAGCGAGCTTCGTTAAGTGAATTTGCCGTCGACCGAATAACTAGCGATTCGGGCCAAGGTTTCGAGTGCAGGTTTCATGTTCGTCCGTCTCTCTCGGGCCGCGATACAGAAATAAAATACGGCTCCCCCAGGTCCCCGATGTATGCATTCCCTCGTGATGACGGCACGATCGCTCGCACCTCGACGGAAAAATGCAAAAAGAAAGGGCAGCGGCGAGGAGGAGCGATCCAACGGGAATAAAGGGTCGAATATCTCGCAAGATACGCGAGTCTTAAATTTTCGACGATAAAAATTTCATCAAGATTTTAATATCAGATTACTATAGGAGCAGTGCTAATATACATATATAAGCATAGTAACAAAACATAACATATAGTGATAATAAAACATACTAATCACGCGTATTTTGAGAGAGAAAGAGAGAGAGGATTTAACTCTTTAAAAATATTTTACGAATTCCATAATCGATTTTTTTAGTATGAGAAAAAAAAATAAAAAGGAAGAGCATATATACTAAAACAGAGTGTGTCTACTCCCTGGAAAAACATGGAAAACCTGAATTCTCAGGGAATTTTTTTATACCTGGAAAGATCAGAGAATTCTCATGGAATTTTGTTAAGACTCAAGGAATTTTTAAAAAAATTCTCTCTAATAATTTTGCTCTTATACTGTAAGCAGTAGACAATTCGCTAATAAGCCATGATTGAAGTTATGAATTATGTGTTTAAAATATATTATAAATATATATCTTTTTTTATTTATAAAAATTCAATGTCTTAACAAAATATTAAATATGCAATACATATTCTTTATTTTAATTTTTAGTGACACAAAATAAAAATATTATGCAAGTTAAAAAATTCTATCTTAACGAAAGCTATTCAGCTTTTTTTCAGTACATTTGTAAATCTAGCACTTGAAACTTAAGTGGCTTTGTGTTTTTCCTTCATATAAATGAAAACCATTAGAAAACGCATACAATAAAAGAATTTATTTTAGGAAATTGCATTAAAAAATATTTAAAATATTCTTTTTACTTGGAATTTTAAACAAAAATACTTGAAAGATCAGGGAATATTCACGGAAATTTTTTTCAGGATTTGAGTAGACACTGTAAAACAAATTTTTATATCTCGTATGTGTTTTTGTATCAGGAAAATATAAAAACGTGTACAATATATTGCTGAATTTTAAAAAACTCTCCTTCGCTTTTCAATTTCATGAAACAATTTCATTTCATATCTCGGTATCTGAACTAAGAATCTACAATAGACGAAGAAATTGCGCGAAACTTATTCGCATATTCCGGCGTGACATTACGAGGTGATAGCAAGTACAAGGTTGAAAATCTGATCGGGTTTTAGATTTCCGAGCGCGCGACGTTCGTCGCGAGTCATTTAAGTCTCTAAGCGCTAGAGAATTCCCCGTAGGCTCTCATATTACCTCCTTGAATCCTCTACATCCGATCCCACCCCGGACAACCCCGCCCTTCCTCGCTGGCGTCTTCCCCGAAGACAAACGATCCGACTGTACAGGTAAAACGATGCCCCGATGTCGTCGATTTATCGCCACGACGACGTTGCGATGCGTGGGGGTCTATGTCGCTCGAGGACTATATTGGTTCGCCCCC